ATGAAGAAGCCTTTAGTAAAAGCTTGCTCACTGAGCAGGAGCAGGAAACTCACCCTGACTCCTGGAGCAGCTCACTCATCTTTTCCAATAGAGAGGCTCCAGAAGTGAGTTCTCTAACACAGAGCCCCCAGACTTGACCAGCTAGGTTGCCATGCTACTCGGAGTGGAAGAGCTGATCACACAGCAAAGAGTGTGGTCAAGCTGGTGGGGAGGCAGTTAGAGCTCTTGAAACCTGTACTTCATAGTAGCACAAGCTGCCTTGCCTCTCAGGGATCTTATGTATTGGGATGTGCTAGGGAGATCCCCCAGGAAAATCCACCTGTGTGTGTGCCCTGGGAAGCATCATGGCCTGGCAAGGCAGCGTGCCATGGAGAATGCTAGAGATTAAACCCAAGTTCTGCCTGACTGGGGCCATTAAAGTTTCCACACCTCTCATGAGAGGAGTGCTTCACCTCTGCCTTGTTACCCAAGCTGGGTATTAGACCTTGCTTCCCAAACTTCAGTTAGAGGTTCTCTTTCCTCACTCTGTGTCCTTATGCAGCTTTGCTTGCAGAGATGTCTGCCTTTCAGCTATTCCCTCTGCCAGTCTGAGAAGGTATCAGGTCTCTCGCCACGGGGTGTTCTCACTGCAGAAGCCTTCCAATTGCTTTGAGTCCAGCACTGAATACAAAGCTGCACTTGGCCAGTGAGTAGCAGCATCATCTGGGTACAGAGCCAGGGAGTCCGGTTTAATCTATCCAGTAGAAATAAACAGTGGAAGAAGCATGTGTATTTGTATCTGGGGAAAAGCAAGGACAGTGTGCAGGGGACTTTGTCCTCCTAGGGAACACGGCTGTTAGAGTCTCACTTAGAGAATTAGCAGAGACCGCAGCTCAGCCCCATTCTACCTCCTCCCTCCAAGGTCATGGCAAGATAGTCTCTCATGTCTCCCGTGAGTTTCAAGGGCTGTTTAGAGTGAAGTTTATAGCACTGTAATGAAGGGCCCCTTCTCTCGCAGTGGTGAGCCACTTGGGCCTCTTTCAGTGGCCCATATGAGGCTGCCTCATCCTCTGCTCCATCAGGGGAGGATCTATCTGTGCTGTGAGAGCACCTCCTGGTGGTTTCTTGTGGGGATGGGGTTGCACCCAATCCCACCCTGCTCCTTATCACTGAGACGAGGGGTAGGACTAGGATAACTGGCCACCTCTGAGTCCTGCGCCCTGAAACAGGGGAATCTGCCCCTGCAGTAGAGGGAGGGGATGGGCATCTACCCCTGGAAGCTGGGGAGTCACATGTAGGTCCTGGCTGGGGAGATGGGGCAGCTGCTTCTCTCCACTGGTAAATCAGTGGGAAGAGAGTTGTGAGACACTTAGGAATTGTAGTATTTGGGGTTCTTCTTGTTGAGAGAGTGACTCTGAACAGTGCTCCTGTCCCTTCCCATCACCCCTTGTCCCAGTTAGACTTCTGGTGTTCCCTCCAAATGTTGGGGAGGGAGGGGAGTGTATGTGTGATTGGGGCTGGGTACAAAGCTCTGGAAGTAGAGTGAGAAGGGGGCGAAAAGTCCAAAGCTTGCGGGGAGAGTATAGTCAAGGAGTCTGGCTTTGCACCTGGGAGGAGTGAACAAGGGAACAGGCTGGTAAGTCTCCCTTCATGTGGGGAGTCAGTCGACCCAGACCAGTCCTTGTCTAGGCCAGAGGCTGATGCCACTTGCCCCTTGTGTTTATCTCTGGAGATGGCTAGACCTAGCTGTGGTGGGATTGAGTTCCAGCTCCCTCACTAGACAACAGCAGGTCAGTCCCCATGTTGGCTGCTTGCGGCTGGGACTGCCCAGCCTCCTGCCTTTTAGGCACCCCCAAAGCCTTCACCTCCTGCCTGGTGTAAGGGGGCACTGTTGGTCTGGCAGCCCTGAACTGCCCTGGGCCAGAGAGCTGTCAGAAGAATGGAGTTTGTCACCCGCAGGGACTAAGCTTGAGGGTGCCTGTTGCTCACATCGCTTTGTTCTGGGGCTTTGCCTGCTGCAGCTGCTGAGGGGAAGGACACATCGGATAGCAATGGGGAGCTGCTGCTGCAACTGCACTCACAGTTTCCAGGAGACATCGGCTGCTTCGCCATTTACTTCCTCAATGTGGTGAGGCTGAACCCAGGGGAAGCCATGTTCCTGGGTGCCAATGAGCCCCACGCCTATCTCTACGGGGGTGAGTGTATGTTCTGTGAGGGCTTGGGGGAGCCATCGCTCTCCTGGGACACTGCAGTGGGAATAGCTGTTTATCCAATGCCTTACTTCTGTGTTTACTGATGGTCCTCATCTCTTGACTGGGAGGGATCAAAACCCCAGGTCATGCCAGGGGGCTGGTTAGGGCACTAGCAGAGGCAGACCATGTTCTTCACCGTAAGCCAGTCATGAGACAGTCCTGTTTAGATATGACTTACTCTCCTTAAATTGCGCATCTCTGGCTACTGTAGGAAGCAGACTATCTGACTTGGTGCCTTATTCCAGTGTACCTTCTATTAGGTATGTTCATGTAGCAGGGATGAAGGGCTGCTGTGCTGGAACATGTTCTTTGTGAATCTGAAGGAGGCTCAGGCTAGCTTACCTGCTCCTCCACCCAGCTGATTGACAGCAGCTCTTTGAATGGCCATGGGAGTCAATGTCCTCTTGCCAACCCTAAGTAAAGTGATGTGGTGGGGTTCCCTTCATCCAGGGGTGGGCAAAATACAGGATGCAGACCGGATACAGCCTGCAGAGGGTCTCCGGCAGGTCCATTGGTCCTGCCTGGCCCAGACTGCCACCGAGTCCCAGTCCCATGGAGACCAGCCAGGACTGAAGTCCTGGGCAGAGCGCACAGCCCCAGCCCAGGCTCACCCCACCTTGCACAGGGGGTCAGGATGGCTGCTGCACTGCTCCAGACCCACCTGCCTGTGCTATGGTGAGTAGCAGTGGTGGCAGCCCTGGCATGGGTTCCAGGTCCTTCTTTTTCCCCCTACCGCTGCCGCTCTGGCCGGGGTGAGCAGATCTGGAGCAGGTGTTGCAGGGACCCTGACCCCCTGCATGGGGTGGGCCGGAGCTGGGGCTGTGCACATGTGGGGCTCAGGCCCTGCCCAGGCCAGTCTCCATGGAGTCAGGACTAGTGGCGGCAGCAGCCAAAAGGAACCACCACCGCTTCCTCTGTGCCTAAGCCATTATCACTGAAGCTGGGCAGTAGCTTCAGCCCCTCCTTGGGGTAGAAGGGCAGCCCAAATGTGGCGGTGGGGGCGACTCCTTCCAGGTGCCACCACTGTCAGCCCCAGTCCCATGGAGGCCAGCGTGGGCAGGGCCTGAGCCCTGGGCTGAGTGCACAGCCCTGGCCCACCCCACACTAGGGGTTGGGGTCCCTGCAGTGCCCATTCTGGACCTGCCCACCCCAGCCATGACAAACAACGGCAGTGAGGAAAATCGGGACCCGGAGCCTGCACCAGGGCTGCTGTGCGGCTCCTTCCTTCTGCCACCCATGCTGCCTCCAGGTCGCTCCCAGCCTGCCCGTGCCAGCTCCCTGCCCACCTGTGGCCCATCCCACATAGGGAGATTTGGTGAGCTGTTGCATGGGGGAGTGGGATTGCTGACCTGGCCTGTAACAGGTCCAGAAAGCTCTTGTGTGGCCCAAATAATTGCTCACCTCTGCCTCAGCTAGTCATCCAACTGTGCCACACACTGCAGAGAGTAGGAGGGTGTGGGGGTAAGGAGGGGTGGTCCTAGTCCCTGGAGACTGCTAGAGCTCAAGCAGCTGGTCTTCTATGAGATGGTCAGGAGTTTCCTCCCTGTGACCTGCAGACTGCATTGAGTGTATGGCCTGCTCCGACAACACAGTGCGTGCTGGCCTCACTCCCAAGTTCATCGACGTGCTGACCTTGTGTGAAATGCTGAACTACACACCAGCGTCCAGCAGTGCTAAGATCTTCCCTGCTATACAGAGCCAGCTGGATCCCTGTGTCTACCTCTATGACCCACCTGTGCCAGACTTTGCAGTCATGAGGATACAGGTGAGCAAAGATGGGGGTGGGGCATTGGGTGACAGAAGAACCCAGGATTGGGGGGCAAAGGGCAGCAGAGCTAAACAGCAGGGAGCAAGCGATGGTTTGGCCTGGTGCATCCAGCAGGAGCACTTCAGAGCCAGCATCCCAGATCTCATTAATGACTTCTCCCTAGAGGGGCAGGACAGACTGGTTCTGCAAGGAGCAGAGCCTGATCCTTTGTGCCCAGGGCAGTGTGACAGCAAGGTGGGGAGGGGAGATAGATGTGGAATTTAGACATCAGGAACTTACCCCTTTACCACCCTGTCTGGTGTAACCCTAGGTAGGGCTTCTGCAGCCCCTGTCCAGCTTGTCCCCTTTCCTCATACATGTATGCCAGACCTGTCAGCTCAAAGCAAAGTACTAAGCAAATTATCCTGTGTTACTGGATCCCATCAAGAAATGGGACTGAATTAACTCTCTGGGACAGGTTTGCACTTGCCAAGGTGACTCCTGCTAGTGTCCCGTGTCACAAACTTTTCACTTGCTTATCCAGCCAGCCCTGCCTTCTGTGCCTCTGGCTCCTGCTACTTTTTTTTCCTCGCATCCTTTCCCCTCCATCCTGTTTCTGCTTCAGCAGAAGCCTCTTCTGCAGGGACCCACTGAAACTAGCCAGTGCCAGTAAGTTTCACTTGTTTTGAGTGTAGAGGCCAAGGACATGCATGCACTTGGTCTGAAGTTGGCCAGGCCCAATGAAGAGAGTAGGCACTTTGACCAAAATGGGGAGCCACACACTTACCAGAGGAGGATTCGGATGTGTTGAACCTGGCAGGGATCTGCCCTTGCTTAATGCTTGATGTGCTGCTGTAACTTGCTCCAGCCCAGACAGCAATGATACTGAAGAACAGGTAGGAGGAGAGGGTTTTTCTGGGCTTTTCCACTGTCTGGCAATCAAGGGAAGAGATGGCTGGAAGCAGGGATGTTGGGTGTTGGTTTTTCCTTTCTCCCTGCTTGTCCTGCAGTGCTCTCAGCAGCACAGGCAGCTTGGTGGTCTTTGACTGGCAAGTGCCAAAAAGACAGGACAGGGATGAAGGAATACATCAAATGCAATGGGCTGTATGGAGCCTTGCACCTCTGGGGTAAATGGTGATGGTGAGAAACTGAAATCAACAGGGCTCAATCTGCCATGTTTGGGGACAGGCTTCATAGTGAATTCACTGTGCTACAGATCCTTGGAGAACTGGTCCAAGTGCCCTCTGTGCCCCCCTCTCCCCCAACCCATCTCCTTCAGGAGACAGAAATTTAAGCCAAAGGGTGTTTTTATTGCAGATCCCCTCAATTAAGCTGTACCTCATCTCTGCCGTCGACTCTGCCAGCATCCTGCTGGTGATCCAAGGGACAGCAGTAGGCACCTCCACCGGCGCAACATCTGACATGACCTTGCGCCGGGGCTCCGTGTTCTTCATCTCTGCCAATGAGAGCATCTCCCTGCAGGTCTCCTCGCCGGACGGAATGCTGCTCTTCCGTGCCTGCTGCCTCCTCTGATCTCGCACACAGAGCCTGCCCCTGCTGCAACTCCACTTAGAGTAGATAGAAACTGGCCTGGGCAAAGCAGACTTCCATGGTGTGGGTTAGCTTGAAACATGCCCATCAAGAGCAGTGTCAGTCCTAGAGCAGCAGGCACCCAGTCTGTAGAAGGAACAACTCTTGTTTCCTGTCCCTCCAACTTCTGGCCAGCTCCCAGGTGGCAGTGCTAAGTGCAGTGGTGGGAGAAAGAACCTGTTTGTCTGTCTTAACACCCCAACCACACCTGCCGCCTTTCTGGGCTCTGAGGTGTAATGAGTTTCCTTAGCCCCATGTATTCCTGCAGTGCCTATCCTTACCTGCTGTGCACAACATGTAGCAGCTGTTTTCCTGTAGCTTTTAAGTGGACCATTTGATTTGTGTTAGGAGGGAGTGGAGGGGGGAACACTGCTGGGATATGTGCATAACTATGTATGATAGGTCTGTGAGGGATTGGGAATCACAGAACAGCAGGAAACATGATTGCTAGAGTTAAAGGTTGCTACCAGGAATAGGTATAGGAGATTGCTCACATTGCAGAAATCTGTGCTGCTTTCTTTCCCAGCTTATCCATTTCCAGGCAAGGTGATGCACTTTCAGGTACATGATCCACTCACCAGTGGAGTCCTTGCACCATTAGGCTGGGAATAAACCATTTCCCAGGTATGTACTGTGCAGAGGGAGATTGCTTCTCTGAGCAATCTAGGCAGGCTTCAGTCTCTGACCCACTGTATCCAAAACGGGATGAGAACACAGGCTGCTCTCGCCCTAACCTGCAGCACAGACAGTTTTAGCAGAAAGAAGCTGCATGCTTCTCTGGGCTTGTTGATGTCTTCTCTCTACAGGTCTGCTAGTGTTACTGTTGTCTTTGCTTCTGTGATCAGAATGTCCCATAATCAGACTGTCGGCAACTGCCTCCCTATCCCAGTGTCAGTAACCATCCCATCCCTACTAGGTGGGTTTGCAGTGTTGCTGAAGGCATGGATAAACAGACATGTGACATGCTTCAAGCTCTTTTGAAGTGCTTTTAATTTGTAGGATCTCCGTAGTGGACAACACCCAGCTAAAGTATCACCACAAAACACTTCAGAGTTGTTCCTGTTTCTTCATTTTTCATGTGGTTTTGACTGATTTGTAGCAGTGTAACACCATGCATCATCTATCTGCTCAATTAAAGTTGTTTAAAGTGCTGTGTTAGGTCTGTCCATACCTGCAGTTTCCAGAGCTTTGAGAGGCACTAATCATCACTCTAAGTTGCTTTTCAGAGGGCTGCAACACTTAGTCCTTCCAGTGGTTACTGAGCAGAGCAAGCATCCTGCTGTATGTGCAAATTAAACTCTTTCTTTGTGTGTAGGGGAAGAGTCAGGCTGGAGTCAAAGCTTATGCAGGAACTGGCTTAATTAGAGAATTGAAAGGGGCAAAGGAGGTTCAAGGGGATTGGGGTGTTGCTTTTGATGCGCTAGAGTAGCTAAGCTGCTTGTTCCTGCTGCCTTCCACTACTGTAAACAGAACCGTCTAGGGCTGAAACTTCCTATAACAAAAAAGGATGGAGCAATTGAGATGGGAAAGGCAGCCTGCATACCAATTTCTGAGCCTTATGGCAGCAAAATCTTGTCCTTTGAGCTGGACAGGACTTAGTATTGCTGGGACAGAGGTAAGAGCCTGCACCTAGACATCTTGAAAAACAGTGGGATGCAGAGGGCTGGTGTCTGGGCATCAGGGCTCTCCTCAATTTTATCCCTGATGCTGACTCATTGCGACTTTAAGCAAATTGTCTAATCTGTGTCTCAGCTTCTTCATCTGTAAAATGGGAATAGTGACCTACCTCACAGGATGTTGTCTGGAGAATCCTCACTTAAAGGTGCTGGGAGTAAAGGGTTATCCCCTTGGTCCTGGGGAAGCAGTAGATAGCTCTTGCCCCTTAACCAGAATAAATAACATCACTACTACCATCTCTTCAACTGGAATTCTGTTTATGTTCCTGGAGCTGATGCACAAGGGGCCAGCTCTAACACCTGTTACTTCAGATTGGCCCCCAAGAGACTGCCCTACTTAACATGAAAATGTGGGAGTCATGGCTACAGACACGAGTTACCTTGTTTTGTCACAAAGGTTACAGTAAGAGAGCCAGCTGCTATTTTGTGTGCCTACAGCCCTCAAACGTGATCTGTGTGCACAGAAGGTTGATTGATACTAGAGGGCAGGGAGGCAGGAAGTTGTGTGGTGCTGACCATTTAGCTTAAACCTTCAGTAGCCAGGGCATGGTATTCCTGGTGAGGGGCTGGCAAAGTGGGTGCATCAGCTACAGGCTACTATTTTTTGTGGTAGGAGTAGCTAAGACTACTTTTTCCTAATAAGATTCTTGCTACCTTGTAGACTTAAAATCATGGGAAAGTAAGGCTGGACAAGACCTCAGGTCTCAGGAGGTCACATAGTCCAACCTCTTGCTCAAGGCAGGATTGCCCTGACTAAGTGTTCCTAGACTTGAATAGTTTCTACCAACAGGTCAGGTTCCAGCACTTGAGTAAAGAATTCTCTTCCCTTTTCCAAGCTTTGAATGACTTGCTGTGAACACACAAGCTGCAACAGTAATCTTAAAACTCAGCTGGTGCTGTGCTGTGCTACCCTTCCCTCTCCACCCCCATGGTTGACCTTGATAAACCACTGAAAAAAAGGACTTGCTGCTCACTCAGCATCATAGTTATCTAACTCCAGTCCAGATGCCCCCATCAGTGACCTGAAGCCAGTGGTCCAGACAATCCCCATCAATGACCTGAAGCCAGTGGACCCCTGATGTATTTCTTTGACTTGTTTTAAATAGCTGTTCTCATCAGTATTTTGACACTTTCCCTCTTACACGGTGAAACTGATCACCTGTGAAGGACAGTAAATGTTAAACTCTTGTAACCTTTGGGAGCATTGGGAAGGGGGTGTCACCCAGGAAATCAACCCAGGGAGGAGCTCTTCTGAGCCATATAATGTGTATTTAACAGCTGTTAAGTATTTCAGTCTCTTCTGACATCACTAGCTTTAATGGTTTGATTCATCCACTCCATTGCTCTAAAAAGAGCTATAAATCTTTGAAGTGGGGAGGTAAGGCAGCGATATGCAACCTTGTGTTATGGTGTATTGGCAGGTAGGGTGTGTGCATGGGCTGGAATGTTCTGTCATAAAGAGAAATAAACAGTCACTGCAAAAAACAAGCACTGGCCTGTGTATGTGCATTTTATTGGGAGTGGGGGAAAACAGCCACTGGACACTGTGGATGGAGCTAGAGGGCATAGCAGAGTGAAGCTCTGAGCTATCTCCTTCACCTGCTTGCAGTAAGTCATACCAGCCATGAATTATTTGAGACTCTGTGAGTCACTCTAGTTAAGAGCCACCTAGGAACCCTCCCTTTTGCAGGGACAGCTGTATGCAACTTGCTGCAGCAATAAGGAAGAGCATAAGTAGCACAAGATCCAGTTTATTAAACACTTCTTTTGAACTAGGAATATATATAAAATTATCAGCTCTCTAAGACATTATATTAAACAGATTTCTTTACAGGAAGCTGATTGTCCTCCACATAATGCAGCAGGATGATGACTTAAGGCAGCTTTCTAATTTTGTGCCAGACCAACTCCCTGCCCCAAGCCCCCACACAAAATGACCTGTTCACTTCTTGAGAGGTTCTGTACTGCCCTGACTCCGTGCTGTTGTCTTGGTAGCTGAGTAAGCACCATTAAGCACCACATGAGAAAAGACCTGAAAGTAGCTAGCTGCTAAACCCCATCACTCTTGACTGACTGAAAAAGCTACTCCCCACAGCAAGAACTGGAATTAAGGCCCTGAAGGTTTAGCAGGAAAAAAATATAGTATCCTCTTCCAACTTACTCTAGTTAACTGAAGTCCACAGGCAAGGGGAAAGCTGTGTTCTCACTGCAAGTGTCCTGTTCACAAATTTCCAAGCCACTGCACTGATGAGAGCTCACCTGGGTTGAGAATCACCCCATCACTGGTGCTGAACGAGGCATGCATGTTGGCTGTAGTTAGCACGGGGATGCAGACCATGACAGCAGGGCTCTGCAGGACTCAGCATACCCCATGGAATGCTACTTTTACAGGCTCCTCTATTCTATTGCCAGAATCAGGAAAGTGGGCCACTGACACCAGCTAGAGGCTTAGCCAGGTTGTGGCCTCATCCCCGTGCGTATGCATAAGGGCCAACCTTCTACCACCATACAGATTAATGAGTTGGATCCAGGATCATTCTTTGAAAAGACCTGCAAAGGAAAACTCAAATCACTTTACATGTAAATAAGCTTCATCAGACATGTGACCTTGACAACTGGTTCTGACCAGGATCTTAGTACTGAACCACCCTGCTCTCACTGTCCGTGTGGCCCCCATTATGTTCAGGATGTAACAGTCAGTCTGGCATCCAAGCCAGCATGTTATTTATTTCCACTGCAATCCTAGTGTCTCAGACTCTATCCTCAGCCCCTCTGAAATCTCTTCAGTGACCAGAAGCCAACAGCATCATGGAAGCCCCTCATTCCTGACACTGCATTTCGGACAAGTACTGAATGATATAAGCTAGGGGGAGAAAGACTAGGCCTTCAACAGTATTGACTCGGTTCCTCGAGCCTCCCTCCCCCTTTCAGTGACACTTTTTAATCAGCAAAGAAAACAGAACTTAAGCAAAACAGATCTCCAAGCTCTGCCTCAGCAACCCCTCTCTACGAAACAGATCTGCTACAAACAATTACCATTAGTGTCCGATGTAACTTCCTGCTAGGGAGGTCAGTTTTAACTACTTCTGACCGAGAGAATAAGCAATTCATGATGGACTGAAGATAACTGGAGCACTGGGGGTTGAAGATCAGAATGTCAAGATACTTTGGAACCACAGCATTTTAAAACAATGTACAACTTTGTTTTAGAGTTGTTTTAGATCATGATTTTATTACAACTTCCCAATTTTGTCCTTTTGGTGAGAGTCAGTTCTCTGAGTCATAGCACTCCAGGCTCCCATCCCAGCATAAGTAATAGTTCAGGACAGTTTCAACAGCCCATCCAGTTCATGTTCATCCTTCCTCAAAAAATAAAAAAAAAACAGGCCTAGCAGCAACCAGAATTGCGTCAAGTGATAGCCCAAAGAAGAGCTACCAGTATGAGCAATCAGAGCACAAGACTCCAATCTGGTTTTCAAGTGTTTAACTAAAAATAATTAGCCAAATAAATTAGAACTAGATCCTGGTCCTAAGATCAGCTCTTCCACAGCAGAGCTGTCTGCCAGACACCCACCACTAAAGAAAAGACACTGAGATATCAGAAAGGGCTGCTGTAATACCAGGTGCTACTGAGTTGATCAGACAACTACAAGTCAGTGATGTACTTAATAATTGCTGAGGTGTGGGACATGAAGCAGGCAACAAGATAATGAACATAGCAGACATAACCCCTCTAAGAAGCTCACAGTCCTGGTCATACTTGCTCTACCCTCATTTCAACACCAGCCAGTATACAGTGCCTCCTTCAGTACTCCCAAGGGGTAGCAAGCTTTGGTTCTCATCAGTGTGCAGCCCCCAGTCCAAACAAAAAACAGCAGCAGTTATAATGTATTACATACATTATTCTACAGAGAGTCATAAAGCAGCCCTTCCCTTTTACTGATACCTCGCTGCAACCCAGAAGATTTCTAGCTCCCAGCTATTGACCTCTGTCCTAGAAGGTCCCCAGCCTTCCAGGCAGGAGGGACAAACACTAAAATAAATACAAAAAAGGTTGTGAGATCACTTGTACAGAGGTGTGAAGGAAAGCCCAAGGCCTTGTGTATCAGACGCACCCAAAAACATGTAATGCCTGGTATCAATGCCGGAAGAAGCCTGCTCCAATACCATCCAAAATCTCCCTTCAGTTAAATCAAACTCTACTAGTTAAAGATGAACCTCAAAGGAGGAAAGCAAGATACTTCTTAGGGGAACCAACAACTAGCGAACCAAACCTTCGCAAGCCTTTCAGAACTGCTTCTTTCAACATGGAAGCAAGTTACCACATTTATCTGCCATGCTCTCAGTTCCGAAAATGAAGCATTTCCTGTAAGAACATGGAAGCCATCCAAGGCAGCATGCAGAAAGCTGCGCCTTAAAGATCACTACAGGACAAACAGCAGACCCTAAACTTCAAGCTCAGAAGACTGCAAAGAGGAAAATAGTGTTTGCAGCCACACAGGAGGGCACTAACTTGCTGGGTTTTATGCTAGACAGGTTGTTGTTACCAACATAAAACCTTAATTTTCCCCTTTACAAATGACTTCAGAGTTCACCTTTAAAATGAGAGCACCAGCACCCACGTTCTGACTTCTTCCTTCCCTGCCAGCCAGCACAAAGCACATCTCCGTGGCTCCAAGGAGGTGACCAGGTGCACACAGGCAGCTTGGATGTCTGCACATCATATCAATATATTATATCACTATATGTAACAAAGTGTAGCTTTGGGATAAGCGATTTCTGCTGCTCATATAGAACAGGTGCAATAGTGCAGCATTGGCAGCATTCAGTTCCCCAGTCACTGAGTCCAACTCAGCTAATGCCTAAGTTCAGTGCTGGACACGTTCACCTCTATGAGGCATCCAAATGTCCCAAGATAAAAAGGTAGAAGCTCCTGGCCCTTGACCTGTACTGTGTGCAACCCCTGCTGTACAGGCTACTGGATCGTGCAGGGCAGAGATTCCCCAAAGCAACAGGGACAAGATGAGGCAACAGGCTTGGGAGGAATGAGATCTAGGTCCTCATCATCTGGGATCTCATCAAGGTGGTACCCATCCTGCAGCAGCTGACGGTTCAGATCCTGGTTCACCTGCTGAACAGAGGACAGAGAAGGTAACAAATCCTGGAACAAGTTGCTGCAATGAGATCAGGGCCTCCTATTCCAGCTAAAACAGAAACATGCTTCATAATATCTGACATCTGACCCTACCCTCTGGGGGACTGAAGCAGGAGTTTGAGCAGGTGTCACTTGCATTATTACATGCCACCCTTGTCACCATGCAATCCTGATATTCCTACTTAAAGGTGAACGAGAGATAATTTAAAAGGAAATGAATTGTTTAAGCTAAGATCAAGGACTAGCAAAAAAAAAAATCTCAATGGAAACCAGAGTCCCAAAGTTCCTGCTCTGCTCCCAGTTACCAGTTCCCAGTCAATGGCTCTCACATGAAGTGCTGCCAGCTGAGCAGAGAAGGCAAACACAGGAAAAAGAACCCTTTTTTTCCCCCTCAGACTGCAGAACACTGCATACATCAAGACTGTGACTGCAGCTCCAAGTCCTCCTTTACTCTGCTTGAGACCTAAACTGCTTCAGAGTCTGAAAAGAGGCAGGGCTTATCTACCCTATCAAGGCACAACATTTTAACTGCATCAAATAAAACTGGCTGGTTGGGGGAGATTTAAACACCCTTTCTGCAGCTCTGGCCACTCAAACAGCACTGTTAGAAAAGAAACTTGAAATGGATCACACTGTTCCAGGTAAGTGAGGTACATCTTGTAAACAATTAGCACCAGATTAGTCAAATGAATTACATTCCAGCTACTGAGCAATCTGCCAGCAGGTATGTGGCAGCTGAGCAAAGAGAGTAGGAAAGAATGGATCCATACATGCTGTACTGCAAATGTAAGATACAAGTACAACTCTTTGAACTTGCCTCAGCAGAAGAGTAACCGGAGGAACCTCTTGATTCCAGCTCCCCATCACTAAGAGAAGAATGCAACAGTCAAAGCAAACAAGAGAATGCATGAAGAGCCCAAATAATTGCTGTCAGTTCTGAAATAGGAGGGCTGGGCCTATGTGGCAAAGGGTGTGCATGCCAAACCCACCCAGCCCACCCAGCCTACTTTAGCAACCAGATAAGGGCATTTTTGAAGTGAGGGTGCTGAGGTCATGGACTCCAGGGGACTGAGAAACTAGCTTTAGATCTGGGATGAGGAAAGCATTTCAGCATGACATTTCTCCGCAGGGCCCTCACAATTGACCTAATCTAGTCAGGACAGCAGACACATTCTTCTCCTTAAGAAGTGGCCCAAGAAGCTTAAGTGACAGGGCAGCAAGGGATCAATCACCCAAAGATGGGAATGGAGTTTGCCTTTCAATTGCTAACATGCCCAGTTTCCTTGAGGTAATGAAACCTGTCTGCAGGGTGACAAGTGAACCACTTCCATATTACAAGCCCTGGTCATCTCCCGAAGTTTCTCTCTAAGAAATCCTATAAAGGTTGACCAATGTATAGCTCAGTTGATTGGGTACATCCTGAGCAAAGTGTTGGGTGAGCCCCCTGAGTGCAGATCATTCAGTATCTGCTGAATGCAGCTACCGAACCACACATAAACACACAACTCTCACCTGTCTGACTCAAGGGACACCAGAGTTTCATCTGCTGTCTGGCTCAGAGCAGCATAACCCTTGTTAAACTTCACTGACCTGCAGGAAGGTGCAATCAGTAAGCCAGCAATAGGCACCGAGATATGGAAATGCAATCACAGATCTGCCAGCCAACCAGGCTGAGAAAGCAGAGTTGTAGAGGGGATGTGCAACCCTGGAGAGGTCCTATCAAGATCTCACAGCCTTGGTATGGCTAGAGAATGAGTCCAGCTCCTCCCCAACCAATGATGACTCAGGGACCCGACAAGGTGTGGTCCAGCTACTGTGATCTGCTTAGCTCCCTGAAACCAAACAATCCCCCAGAAGCCCCTCAGGAACCTTGTTAGAGAACACAGTGCCTGTAAATGTGGTGACTGACCACACTTATGTAGCCTCTTCAGCCTGACAGCTCCTTATTCAAGATCAAATGTTCATATCCTTTTAACGTTTAAAGTAAAACATATATCCTTCATAAAAATAAGCCTATGTGATTTATCTGCATGAGTTCTGGAGGGGGATAGAGAACTCCTGGTGCAGTTGTGCCAGCCTCCTTACGCTGCCCACTGGCTAACGTGGCTCACTCGATTTGGGAAGACCATATCTAGGAGTGGGTTCGGTATCTGTGGTCCATTTGTCTCTCAGCTAAGGCTGCCAACAGCTGGGGGAACAATTAGCCTGGACAGCAAATCGCTGGTTTGCTGGGTGGGCACACATTGAGACAGGGACTGACTATCCATCACTAAAACACGGAGGCTGGAGTAGGACCAGTGACTAAGTTGTTCAGGGCTCCACATTGTGTTTCTAGTCCTCAGAATGCAGCTCACAGTTATATCTGGAAATACATATCAACAATAGGAGGAGATGGGATCCTACCTTTTTGAGGCTTGCTTTGGTTGCTGCAGAGTAGCTCCTCCCAGAATGCCTTTCCTCCGCAGCACTGCCTTTGCCAGTTCCCGGTGCTTCTCTGAAACCCAAATGAGAACATTATAACCATGCACCCAACTGACTTACAGCTTCTTGCGTGAGCTGGCAGAAGTCAGAACTAACAAGAATATGGGTGCTTAGCAATGTAATTCAAGTGCAACATCCAGCACCAAATCTTCCTCTCTCATGTACTTTTGTCACAGTGATAGAGTTAGCCACAAGCTCTGATTGCACACATCAGTGGGCTTCACTTGGTTAGCTTCAAAGAGCTTCCCCTACTACACAGACTTTGGTCCTGAACACCATCTTTAAACTATGTGAACATCAGTTTAAACACCACATCAAACATGGGAAAGCAATGAACCTCCAGGGCTTAATATAAAGCCTGACAGATTGACAGGCCAGGAGAAGGCAGAACAAGTTCCAAAAGCAAGGATCTTCTTTGAGTACTCCCTCCAGCCCCCAGCATGTGCAACCTTGGGGAATTCAGCAGAAACAACTCAGCTGACATCTAACTGGGCCGTACAGCCATGACTCACTTATAGAAAGCACCAGCAATCTGTGCCATCCATGCTCCAGAGTGATCAAAAAGCAGCTTCTCACACTTACCTAGCCTGGAAATCACAGAGGATGAGCCTGACCACATCAGCATCACAGAAATACAGTGCTGCCCGCCTAGCCAGGTTAGCATGAATAAAAAGCCACTTTGGCCACAGATTTTCAAAGGTTCAGAGCCTCCAGATATACCAGCCCTACAGATGGTGAGTAACTGAAACCACCTACCAGAGACATAAAAGTCACCATTAGACTTCCAAGCTGTTCTCCTTGTATTAAGGGGAACTGGAGTAGCACAGCTGATCTGTAATCCCATTTATCACTGTGCAGGAAATCTTAAACTGTCCTGTCCCATGCAGAATCATGATCCTGATTCACTGAACCAGGATTTTTTTTCTGACCATAGGGAAAATCTAGGCTTTAAGTTATGATTAGATGGAGCTGCCCAGTGGTGCAATGCTGGACTTGTACCACTCCTTCCTCCACAGCATAAACTTTATAATATGAGGGGATCACCATCATCTGTAGCAAACATTAATGCTCTTTTTAAAAGCAGGTTAAGTTGGGGTGAGGAAAGGACTCAGACCAAGTAGCTTGACTAAGGCCCTCAATCACCAAACAGGCAAGGGACAGGTAGTGTTAGTAGGGTACCATATGTGAGCAGAGTAACCTTCAAAAAGGGGCAAGGAGAATTTCAGTATCCATGGCCTGTACAGCTCTTGACCTTTCTGCTACGACCATCAATAGCCACTTCAATTGCCATGATAGAGGTTTATCCCACAAACATCCAAGACCCAGATTCTTTTCTTTATTCAGTTCATTTCACCTGGACTACCACATGGTCATGGGATAATATCACCTTTCAGTCATTACTGATCTGGGCTAGAGTTGAACCATTGATTTAGAGGTGAATTTCTCCACACCTCTACCCAGTCTCAGCTGGGGTCCTGCTGAGGAAGTGGGGACTCTGTGGCAGCACAGGGCCATCACTTACGCAGTTTGGCCTGAATGGTGGGAGCTGTGTTCATGATATATGGTCCCTTTTTCTCCACTGCCTCAGCCTGCTTCTTTGTCCTCTTGTTCTCACTCTGCACCTGCTGAAAGGAAAATTAAGCAAGAACACAGCTGGTCAGTGAGTGGCAAAAGCGACAAAGGCAACTTTACCTGTGCTCACCACAAAACATTCCTATTGTTGGTATTTCTCAGGTAACCGTCACTACATCAGTCTCCTGATCACCGTGGCAGCCTTGTGGCACAGCAGTTCAAGAGAGCTGCAAGGGTGAAGTCCTCTCTTACCAGCCCCTGTGACTGCCAGGGGCACTGGAGAGAAGCGCCATAAAAGGGAAAAAGAAAGTCTATTCAAACAGGAAGGTCTGTGGGAGTTCGAGATGATTCGTATGGCAGAGCTAGCAAACTCCTTGTTGGTTAAGAGATGTGGGATAAAGCCGAATGAGGCTTTTAAAGGCTGTTACAGGTCACAGCCACGCAAACCTTAAAAAGACACTGAGGTGTTTTACTTAAATTTTCTTTTTTGAGCATTTCCAGCTTGCCTCCACTCCAGTGGCTTGTGCCCGCTTCCTTTTCCAAGGCAGGGATGAGGAAGTCAGGGATCGTGCTCAATAACGCCAGCGAGAGGCGACACCCCAAAATGTGGCAGCGGTAACGGGCCAGAAAGGAAAACTCAGCAAAAAACACCCCGACTTCATGGGGCAAAAAGCCAGGGACGGTTCCTTGAAAACAGCGACGCGGGGAAGTCTCAAGGGCCCTGAGCGCCTTCGAGGCGTAGGTGAACCAAGCGGGGCAAGGAGAAGGGCTCCGGGGCCAGCGGGGCAGACACCCAGACGAGGCGAGCCCGCTGCGGGCACTGCTCCCCCAGCCCCGAGGCGGGCGGGTGGACACACGGGCCGGGCCGCGGAGCTCCGCGAGGGGACAAGGCGGTCGGGCAGATCCCGCCGGGGGCTGCTCACCGCGTGGG